GCGGGAAGCAGGCTCCCTGCTGAGCAGAGAGCCTGATGCGGGGCTCAATCCCAGGACTCTGGGATCATGACCTGAGCTGAAGGCAGAGGCTTTAACCCACTGAGCCACCCAGGCACCCCCAAATGCAGATCTTAACTGACTGAGCCATCCAGGCACCCCTGAAATTTCTTAACAGCTACTATTTAGTTATACAATTCATCTAATTGAACCTTCACAGCTTTAATAGGGAGATACTATTATCTCCATTTTACAGATCAAGAAACTACAGCCCAGAATAAGATGCACTAAAATTCAAACCCAACCCCAACTGACAACAAAAATTACCCCTAAAATAGAATCCCAAGTAAAAAATCATATTAGAATTCAAAGTTAGGAACGGCTTTGCTGTACTCCCATAGAATGAGGTATGCTTCCTTTCTGATAATTAGTTAGTGTTATGCAGCTAATTGTGTATCTTTTCACCTTGGCTTCCCAAAACCCCAAGGCTAAATCTGAAGTTCAGTGGTAGCCTACTGTTGGCCCTTCCAGTCTGCATATTTTTTTTTCCTTTTTCTTTTTAAGATTTTATTTATTTATTTATTTATTTATTTGACAGAGAGAGAGAGAGATCACAGGTAGGCAGAGAGAGAGCGGGGGGGGGGGGGGGGGAGCATGCTGCGCCCGGCTGAGCAGAGAGCCCCATGCGGGGCTCGATCCCAGGACCCTGAGATCATGACCTGAGCTGAAGGCAGAGGCTTAACCCACTGAGCCACCCAGGCGCGCTCCAGTCTGCATATTAACTGTGTTTTCTCTCCCACCTCAACTTTCCCCTTTTATTTATATTTTAATGTCTTGATTTCCCCTTTCCGTTACGATTATAGCCTTTACCGAATGAGAGAGGAAACAGTAGGTACATAGAATAAAAGAATGACAAAACACACATATACACACACACACAGAGGTTTCTCACCTGTTTTTCCAATTGTCTGATAAAATAAGGCTCCCATCAGGTTTGACCTCTCTCTGTGCAAAATCTGCTTCACAGGCCTCTCTGTTCAAAGACTAAAGGACGGGTTTCTATAGTTGGGTGGCCTCTGATTGGATTGAAGCTAGCACCTGACTCCAGAACAGCCTGCCCATTGGCTGGCTAGCTTCCAATGAGGTGTGGCTAGGGGCAAAGATTCAGCCAATGCAACAGCTTCCCTGAATCCACAGGTAAAGAGGTGCCTTTGGCGTACTGGCTGGTTTTCTGTTTTAGGCAGAATATCATTGTTATTTGCCTTTTAACTTGGGTTAAGGAATTTTAAGCTGGGTCCTCAGCTCGTACATAGGACAGGGAAGGAGTTCCTCTGTGCCCATGAAATCGCTATTTGTGTCTCCTCGTTCTCATAATAGCTAACATGGATTGAATCTTAAGATGTGCTGGCGCCATATGAGTGCTTTACATGTATGTGTAATGTAATCTTAACAACCCTAGGCGCAGGTATTGTTACTCTACCTGATTTTACACAGGAGGCAGTATAAAAGCCAGAATTTGAACCCAGACAATTCCGATTCGGAGAGCATGCTATTAAGCTTCAGCTACGCGTCATCCCCCACCACTGCCCACCTGCTTTTCATTAAGCAGACCTTAGTAAATTGTCTTTAAATAAGAAAGAGAAAACTGCTGCATGGCCTTGAGAACTCACTTCAAGGAGAAAAGCCTAAAAAAGGAAAAATAATAGAAAACTGCTTTGGGCCTAAAGATGAATTTGAATCCTGGCCCCTCCACATACTTGTTCTTTATTACCTTTTCTATGCCTCAGTTTCCTCATTGGTCTTCTGGGATCCTAATCACTATTCGGCTCACCTCACAGAGGTGTGTAAGGGTTCTTTAAGGTAATGAGTTTGAAAACTTTTTGTAATTTATGGAAAGCCAAGCCAGTGCATGGGATTCCTCTTGGGCTTTGGCTGAAAACAAAGCCTTAAACTTTGTGCAATGAGTCAAGAAAAGAGAGAGAAACCCAATCCAGGCGCAGTGAGGGCTCCTCACTGCCCTTTTTCTCATGTGAGGTGCCCTCCTCTACCCGCCTGACCTCCCTCCCCTCCTCCTGCTACCCTTTCAGCCTCCTTCCCCCACCCCTGCTATCTTCAAAGTTGAAAATGGTCTTCCAGCTGTTCAAGGACTCTTTGAAGTAGCCTAAGACAGATGGAAAGGTTGATTGATAGAGGCCTCCTGAGGTCACAAAGGGCCCCTGAAAGGAGGAGTCCCTCAAGTACCTCCAAATGCAGCCTTTCCAAAGCTAGATCCTGCTGCTTCATAATAAAAGTCACTTCTTCCGTGAGCTCTTTTGTGAGGATTATCCCCAAAGGGTTACAACTCCAGCATCTCCTTGGCCTCCTCACCCACCTAGCAGACAGGGATAACCAGGGGTCTCAGATTTGGAGGAACCGGTTGCCCAGGGTCAGCTAGAAACTAGAATTGAACTCAAGTTTATGTGATTCAACATCTCCAGGGATTTTCCAGTGTCCACATTGTACCCTGAGAGCTGGGGTGGATCAGCTCAATGACAATTCAGCATAGAGCAGTGGTCCTCAGAGTGTGGCTCATGAATTTCTTTGGGGTCCTGAGATTTTTCAGAGGCCCATATGGGTCAAAATTATTTTAATAATAAGAAATCATTTACCTCTTTTTTTTTAACCATGATGCCATTTGCACTGGTGATACAAAAGCAGTGGTAGGAAGATTGCTGGCACAAATCAAAGCAGTGGTACCACCTGTATTAGGAGTCATGGTAGTCTTCACTTAATGTGCACTGGTAGTAAACAAAATGCCAGTTTCACTTAAGAAGATCCTCAAGGGGTGCCTGGCTGGCTTAGTCGGTGCAGCATGTGGTTCTTATTCTTGTGGTTAAGTTCAAGCCCCACCTTGGGTGTAGAGATTACTCAAAAATAAAATCTTAAAAACAAAGAAAAAAATAATATCTTTGAGAAAACAGTAAAGAAAGATCTAATTTTATTATCTCTAGACTTTTGAATACAAGTCTTTTTAATATCCTCTATGATAAAATGGAAATTACACATAAAGCACTTTTTACTGAAGTAAAATTCACGTAACATAAAATCAGCCATTTTAAAGTGGCCAGTTCTGGGGGGCCTAGCTGGATCAGTTGGTGAAGCATGGGAGTCTTGATCTTAGGTAGTGAGTTCAAGCCCCACATTGGATGTAGAGATTACTTAAAAAGAGAGAGAGGGAAAAAAAATAAATTTAAAAAATAAAGTGACCGGGGCCCTGGGTGGCTCAGTGGGTTAAGCCTCTGCCTTTGTCTCAGGGTCCTGGGATCAAGTCCTACATCAGGCTCTCTGCTCATGGGGGAGCCTGCTTCCCCCTCTCTCTCTGCCTGCCTCTCTGCCTACTTGTGATCTCTCTCTGTCAAATAAATTAATTAATTAATTAATTAAAAGTGCATTAAAAAAATAAAAATAAAGTAACCAATTCTGTGTCTTTTTTTTTTTTTTTTTTAAGTAATCTCTATAGGCCACATGGGGCTTGAACTCACA